AAAATAGAAGGAAAACATCCATAATTTTATGAATTTCTTCCTCTGGGATTTTGAATAAATAATTACAAACTGAACAAGGTATTTTACATCTTTTTTCAATGTTAGAAGGAAAACATATTTAAGAAAATCATTTAGACTTTGCATAAATTTGGTTAATGTACACGAAGTGCTTTAATGGCTGATTGCATACAAGGTCTTTACTAGGAAAGCAGTAGACATGGGGCTTAGCAGGGAATGGGTTAGTTCAGACACTAACACCAGCACTGCTTGACCCCACACTAGGAGCTCGCCTCTGAGTAAACAGAGATGCAGATGAAAACTAGTAAGTGTATGGAACATGTCCAGGTGTGCAACCTTTGCCTCAACCGGGATAGTAAGATGACATCACTCTCTGTCAAAGGGCTGAAGGTCATCCACAGCTGGTAGGTGGTCCTGGGGGTTTAATGGACTTGAACCTTGTCTTCTCTGCTTCCAGGACATTCTTCCCGCAATGGCAGCCAGGCCGTCCTGTGTCACCATCTGCCTACCCTAGTGATGTGGTAGAGCTCTTGAAACTGTCAATCCTTCCTCTTAAAAACTTCATGTCAATAATGTTGGCGGTGACATGTGGGTGTATTGAGCTTTATTTCTGTGATTGTTTTGTACAGGCAGAGCCTTAATTTTTGGCTTATTTCTTTAAGGATAGAAACACTTTTTAAAATTTGTTTATGGGTATGGTTGTTTTGTCTGCACATATGTCTGAGCACTATGTAGGAGCCATTCCTGGAGCCAGAAAAAGCTGTCAGATCCCCTGGAACTGGACTTAGAAAGGTGTGTGCTGGAAATGAACCCAGATCCTCTGAAAGAGTAGCCAGGACTCTTCGCCTCTGCACCCCCTCTCCAGTCCCAAGTCGGAAACTTTCAAGGCTATTTCTACACATTATCAATTGCCTATCTCTGTCCCAAATACAATCCAATCAGCAGCACATCTGGCCTTGAGTTTCAGCGTCCCCTCTATAAAAACCTTTGTTTACTTAAGAGATGAAAAGTGATTCTTGCTTGTTCACATTTATTTTTATTTCACCTGTTTTATTTATGGGTTGTCTATTCTACAAACACATGAGCTGGCCACAGTTTTGCACTAGGGATGGGAGCTGTGAGGAAGCGATTGGACCTTTACATCCCTTTATTCATTTGGTAGTTATCTATCTCAAACTCTAAGCCAAACACTGTAAGAGGAAAGACTTTAAAGAATAGTAGGTAAGAGAGACAGACACACAAACACACAGTTACAGGACAGACAGGCCAGCGCTATGAGTAAAGCAGATGGAGATTTTCTCAAGCACAGAGGAGAGCAGCTAAGTAACCTTAAGGAGGGCCTCCAAGCCAGGCTGAAGGTGCTGGGGCCTGAGCTCCATCTTGAACTGAAACAAAATTTAGCCAGCTGCTCCCAGCCATACCTGACTAGAATTTATCTGTGGACTATGAGAAGAGAAACCATAGTTTTATGTCTCCTTTACCCCATGTGTCTCATGGGGCTGTGTCTTGAAAAAAAATTTTCTTTTATTATTATTATTATTATTTATTACAATTTATTCAATTTTTATCCTGGCTGTGCCTCCTCCCTCATCTCCTCCCATGCCCCTCCCCTGGTCCACTCATAGGGGAGGTCCTCCATCTGACTCTAGCCTATCAGGTCTCCTGTGTGTCTTCCTCTGTGGCCTGGCAAGGCTGCACCTCCCAAGGGGAGGTGATCAGAGAGCCTGCCTCTGTTCCCCTTACCAGGGAACCCAGTTGGAGACTGAGTTTATGGGTTACAACTGAGCCGAGGTTTTAGGTCCATTCATGGTTGTTGGTTGGGATATCGGTCTCTGCAGGGTCCAGGTTTTTTTTTTTTTTTTTTTTTTTTGGGGGGGGGAGGACTCTGTTGGTCTCCTTTTGGTGCTTTTTAAAATTACTTTTAAAAACTAACTACAAAGCTGCTTTCTTCCATTTCTACCTCTTTACATTCATATACGTTACTTTTCCTTTTGATTGTGTGACCTGGAGCTCCTGGAAAAGCCATGCTTTGGTTAAGGATTGTGAACCTGTGTGATTGTTAGGTGGGTTGTTGCAGATTAAAAGCCAAAATTAACTTGGGCTAGCTTTAGTCTCCCTGGTGTCTGTGTCCACTAGCCACTCACCTCTGTATCTGAGCTAACATTCTTTTAACTACCAGGAAAAGCCTTTGGAAGAATGCCCTCAAACAGCAGCTGAGACTGTGGTGGAGTTGACCCTGTTTTGCTGTAGCCTGCCTACCTGACAGCCCCACTAGTGTATTTAGTAAATGCACTGATTTACGGCTCTCCTGCCTTCTCCGGTAATACAAATTCATACTGCCACTCAGACGATGGACACATCACTAGGATGACCTGAATCCATGTTCCCAGGCTATAGGCACTCATATTTACCTCAGAATAAATTCTTTCTCACTCCCTTTGGAATCACAACTGTGTTTTATGATGAAAATTGTAAACACTAAACTGCTTTTCATGCTTTTAACTTTTTGAAGTTGGATTTATTCATTTTATGTGTATTGAGCCTGAATTTGTGCTTGTTTACTACATATGTGCTTGGTGCGCTTGGAGGTCAGAAAAGGGGATGAGGTAGAGCTATGGGTGGTTGTGGGTCACACACGGAACCTGGGTCCTCTGCAGGAGCAGTGAGGGCTGGTAACTGCTGAGACGTCTCCGGGCCCGCCACCTTTACCACAAAGATCACCACACTTCCATTTCAAAGAAAGAATCACTAGAAGAATGGAGCGAACGTGTTGGTAAAGCACACGGTTAGCGGGAGGCTGGTGAATTTGGTAAAGTCTCTGGGAAAGTGTTGGCAGGGCCTAATAAACCTCAGCACTGACTGACTGAGCGCCTCCACTCCCCGGGTCACCAACAGGCATTTTCACCAAGCGTGGCACCAGCCATGCCTGCTCCCAAGTAGAAAGCACACAGATGCCCATCAGCACCAGAGAAGCTTGTTGATACGATCATAAATGAAAGAAAATTCATAAAAAATGTTGACATTAAGGAATGAGATTTCTTTTTAAACTTGGACTGTGCCATCGTCTACTATACAGTGTAAGGCAGGCCACTGCTCTATTGGCCACTGACCTCGGCGGAGAAGGGGAACTCCAGTGGATGCTGGTAAGGCTGAGCCAGCTGGGTCCTAACACATCCAGGCTGGGCTCTTCTTTATTGTAAAAGGAACTTTCGTTCGCCTGTTACAATTGTTGCCTCAGAGGCTTACTGCCTGTCTGCTAACCTAGGCCTAGTCCTGGATGCTTTACCCTAGAACGTTTTCAGTTCTGAGATCTACCTCTTAATAAGCTCACCCTTTCTTGTTCTTGCTGAGCTCAGCTGGCTGGTTCAACTCAGCTCTTCCGACTCAAACTCCTCTCCCAGCCGATTTATTGAATCTGGCTTTTCTCTTGGCCTCTGAATTGCTCTGCTTGGCTTCAAACTAACTCAAGTAATCTGCTCTAACCTCCTGGCTCCTCAATCTCTGGTTCATTTGTTCTTCACCTGACTTCTCTCTCTGCAACCGATCTATTAAGGTCCTGGTAAAAAACTGCTGCCTTCCTTGGGTGTGGACTTTTGCCAGGCAGATCACACAAACCTAGTGTTCTATGTTGCTTCTGGGTTGCCTAGCAACGTATGATGTCATCATGTGTCGCCTTTGGCTACCTGCGAGGTGTGGTTAAGTTGCTTCTTAAAAGGATCAACCTGTTTCCTGTTTTCTTCTTCTTCCAATATCCATCCCATTTGTCTTTGTGAGTGAGGATTGATCACCTTACCCAGGGATCTCCTTGTTTATCTTCTTTGGATGTACAGATTTTACTATGTTTATCCTATATTATAGGTCTAGTATCCACTTATACCGTGTGTGTCTTTCTGCTTCTGGGATACCTCACTCAGGATGACCTTTTCTAGATCCCACCACAATGCAGCCCATCCTGGTGAGACCTGATAGGCTAAGGTCAAATGGAAGGGGAGGAGGACCTATCAGTGGACTTGGAGAGGGGAATGGGAGGAGATGAAGGAGGAAGGGGGCTATAGCTGGATACAAAGTGAATAAACTGTAATAATATCAAAAATAAAAATTTAATTAAAAAAAAATCAACCTACCACCTTGTAGCTTTCTTGCCCTCTCTCTCTCTCTCTCTCTCCCTCCTCTCTCTCTGCCTGGACGTCCCCTCCCTTCCCCCTATCATGCCTCACTCCTCTCTTCATCTCCATCTAATAAACCTCTTATAAAATCTGTGCATATCATTTCATTGGTCTTAACACCTAGGTCTTTGGATAGGCTCTCTTGCCAGAGCAGCCATGTTCTGAATTAACACTCCTCTATACTTTATATGTCTAGTACACGTCATGGTTTTGTTTGTCTGGTTGGTTGGTTTTGTTTTGTTTTATGTTTTTGGAGGATTTTGCAATGTAACCCAGGCTGACCTCAAACTGGAAATCCTCCTGTCTCTGCCTCAGTATTAAAAATGATACAGCTTCAGAGAAAGCAGGAAAAGGCTGGTTTTGAAGTTTTTCACTCTCCCATATTCCAGAAAGAACTGCTCTCAATACCTCGAGTTATTTTCTTCTCTTCTGAAACAGGGACCCTTGGTTCATCTACCCTCGCCTTGCTCCAGACTTTATAGAAAACAGGCTACTGATTCAAGATCTGTGTTCCTTTTTCATTTCCCTCTAGAAATGGCACACCAACTTGCCCTGTTTGAGAACTTCTTGTGGCTCGGCCACAGGACTTATTGCTCAACGGCTCATTGCTTAGGATTCTTTTAGGACGGAGCGGCTAAGGCAAGGCTAATGATTCTGCCATTTGCAGCACCACTAGGCCACATTCTGCTGCGGGCCCAGTTGCCTCTGCTGTGCTCACCAGGGGAAGAAGCCTGGGGAAGCTTGGGCACCAGCCGGGCTGCTCACGCGCTAGCTCCCGCCCAGCTCCCTAGCGGCTGGCACAGGCCGGTTGCCGGGGTAACCGCAGCGCGTCGCTGCGCCCGCAAACCAGCCGGGTTGTGAGGGACCAGGCCCGGGCAGACCAGCCATGGAGCTGCCGGACCCTCTTCGTCAGCGCCTGAGCAACTTGAGCCTTACGATGTTCGGCGACGCCATCCGCACCGGGCCAGAGTCCATCGAGGTGGCGGGTGAGTGGTGAGGGCGCGCGGGCCCTCGCGGGGGTGTGGCCGCCGGCGGCCTCAGGCCTTTGCCCGGGAGAAAAATGGCGGCTTCGGCTTCGGCTTCGGCTGCCGCCGCGGCGGCGTCCCGGAGGAGGAGGCTGCGGCCCTGCGGCGGACCGGGGCGGCCGGGAGCCTCGGCCGCCGCAGCCGGTGGCGCTGTTGCCGAGCGGACTGGCTTGTAGAGGAGGATCTCTGTCTGCCCCCAACCGGCCTCCTCTGCCTTCCCTTCGTGATGGCCGCCCGGCCGTCCAGCATGGGGAGAGCCTGCAAGGCCGCGCCTTCCCCGCTCCCGCCCTGCGCAAAAGCTTTACTGGGTCAAAACCCCTCCTCGCAGAGCAAGCGTGGTCCGCACCAGCCAGGGTAGTGAAAAAAGAAAACAAAACACAAGTTGAGGGGGTTTGTTTGTTTGTTTGTCCTCACTGAATGAGTCTTTTTAAAGCCACTATCCACTGGCCTGGCCGCTGCCAAACTGATAAGGCCTTCCCCTGCCTGTTCCCGCTTTTGAAGAGAGAGCCTTACCGTGCGTGCGCTAAAATCTGATGATACAAGGGCCATGGAGTCAGAGGGCAGTTCCCGAAAAGGATGGACTTTTTTCTGTAGTTCTGTATGCTGCAGAGCCTCGGGAGCGGCCTTAGTAATAGCATGGACACCGATGGAACTTCCTAAAGACGCTGAAGCTAGGACTTCATAGCGTTTCATACAGCTTTCCCAACCACTCAAACGTGAGAAAAGCTGATTTAAGTTCACTGACTCTACCAAGACAGGTAATTAGTGGTCAGTAAAACTTGTTTGACCAATTATATAATACTTTAATTTTATGTCCTTATACAACTCAACTGGAACTTTTGTAAATTTTAATGAATTCACACCTTGTGCCTCCTATTTCGTTTACATTTTGGCCATATTTTTCAGCTGTGCGAGTTTAATATGTTGAAGTATGAACATGATACTTACATGAAGTGAAAAAGCAGTTATTGTGCCGAGCTATAGCTCCATAGCTTTTAAACAAACAACAACGTTAATTTTGTCACAGTGCAATCCAGAAGTGCTTGGATCGTCCTTAAATTTGCTATGTGGTCCATATCTTAGGGATAATTTAAGAAATAAGGCAAGCAAAAGCAGACCACAATAGAAAACTTAAAGGAAATGTTTGCTTCTAGAGACCAGGATTGTTTTAAAAGCATTAACTGTCAATTAAAAAAAAAAACAAAAACCAAATAGAGAAAAACAAAAGATTCCAAAGTAATTTATGTTAATATCTTTCTAAACTCTTACATTTAGAGCAACTTAAAATGAGAATGTAGTTAAATGTATAATTATTTTTGGGGGCTCAAAATTTAAAATCAAATTCTTGTTGAGGGACCCTTTTCCTTATACAAAAGCAAAAGATATTGGGTAATCCGCCTGATAAACGGAACTTGTGTGTCACAAATGGCTACATGTCTGACAGCTTGCTTCTGAAAATGTGTTCGCTCTGCTCATGCACGCTTGGCAATCACAGGGTATAAAGCAAGATTCTGTATAGGAAATAGAGTGTAACTCTGTTCCTACACTGAACTGTGTCTACGAGTAAGAAAAGGAAATGGCACTGTTTGTTGTACCCATTGAGTGATCAAGGCACACCAATGAGAGTGAAGGACCTTGCACAATCATGGCTCTAGGGATGATTAAATGAATGCTTGGAAAGATGAAATCATGTATCCCAACCTGGCACTGGGAAGCTCTTGGCTTCTGCCTTAGTTGGGGTTTCTGTTGCTGTGAAGTGACACCATTACCACAGCAACTCTTACAACAGAAAGCATTTAAGTGGGGCTGTTTTGTGGGTCCAGGGGTTTAGCCCATTCTCTTCATGGTGGGAAGTATAGCAGTGTGTAGGCAGACATGGTGCTGGGGAGGTGGCTGAAAATTCCACATCCGGATCAGCAGGCAGCAGGAAGAGAAAGTGCCACTCGGCCTCGCTTGAGTACTTAACACCCCACAGCCCACCCCCACGGACACACTTCCTCCCACAGGCCACACCTCCTAATAGTTCCGTTCCCTGTGAGCCTAAGGGGGCCATCTTCATTCCAACCGCCACGGCTTCTGAAGCTCGTGGTCTCTTGAGTACATCACACTGTATCTTAGATGAAGAGCATGTGATTCTTTGCCAGCCCTTCTTTTGCATTTTGATCTGGTGTGTGTGAATGTGCCCTGCGTGTATGTATGAGTGCTACATGAATGGCTCGTGCCCACAGAGGCCAGAAGAGGGCACCAGAGCTCCTGGACCTGCAGGTGCAGGGGTTATGAGCCTCTGTGTAGCTGTCAGGAACTGAACTCAGTCTTCCGCAAGAACAGGAAGTGCCCTTGACCACTGAGCCTCCTGTCCAGCCCTAACCAGCACTTCTTAGACACAGCGTAGAGTAGAGGGGAAGATTTCTACTGCACTGGGATACAGTCGGGGAAAGATTGTGGGAGGGCAGTAGGGTTGTGTAGTGGAAACGTATAGGTTAGGACTGGCTGAAAGGGGGTGTTTTAAAGAGCTAACCTATAAGAGATTCATTTTTACTCATTCATTTTATAATTTTTTAGGAGACCCTACAAAAGAGGCAACAATAATTGTCTGTTCAATAACATTTCATATTCACATTCCTTTCTTGGGTTTTTTGTCTGTTTTTTTAAGACAAGATCAGATATGTAGCTCTGACTGGCCTCAGATTGACTATTTCCCTGCCTCGGCCCCTGAGTGTGCAGATCACAAGACCGCACCACCATGCCAGCTGATCGTTCCTTTCTCCCGCCCCTCTTTTTTCTTGTCTTGCTATGTAGACAGGCTAGCCTCAAGCTCACAGCAATCCACCATCTCCAAGTGCCATAACTACAGGCATATGCCACCATGTCCAGCTTGATGGCCCATACTTAATCCAAACCACTAGTTTGAAAAAATGTCAGCAGACAAATGATTGAAGAATATGAGGTAACCTTTGAGGTAAAAGGTATTTGAATGAATATACTTTGTACTGCCAATAAGTATAAATAGGCCTAAAATGTGGAGCTTTGGTGATCCAGTGTTGGTGCTCAGGGGTACAGAGCTTTGGCGGCACCGGCCAGGACTGACCTGTGTCGCTCGCCTACTTCCTCTGCAGATAATGAAATGGTCTCCAGCTTGCCGCTGCAGATGTCACTCTATTTTAGCTCTTACTTCTTCCCGCTGTGGTGGGTGAGCTGCATTACGATGCTTCACCTGAAGGTGAGTCCACGTCATTCCCGCCCCTTTCTCCCTTCTGCACATCCCCGGGGGGCTCTCAAGAGCCTCCCCTGCACCCCACCCTGTACATATGACTTGACGAAGGCTTAACACACACTTTGCCTTTTCTCTCTAGTACTCAGTCCTGCCCGATTACTACAAATTCATTGTGATCACTGTCGTCATCCTCATCACCTTGATTGAAGCTATCCGGCTGTACCTGGGCTGCATGGGCAACCTGCAGGAGAAGGTGGGCTCCCCCTTCCTTTCAGGGCTACGCCAAAGAGAGTTAAGGTCTTCGTGCAAGTAAAGCAATGGCCGGTGTGGAAGGGGCAGCAGCCTGGCTTTAAGGGTCAGCTCCAACTTGAAGATTTCTGTCAGGGCTGATTCTTTTGAGCTCTGGTGTCTTCATATACTAGATGAGGAAATCAACCCTTGACATGTTTGCTGAGATGAAGGAAATGAGTCCTATGAAGTATCTGAACATAATAGACTCTTGCTGATTGGTCTTGACAGTATCTGGTCAACAGCAGAGGAGAGTCAGCAAGAGTGGGAGGAGGACAAGTGAGGGTCGTAGGGGTGAACGTGATCACAGTACATTCTGTACATGGATGTAGTTGTAAACAGTGGTCAATATAATGTCTGTTTGAAGCCTTAAGAAGAATTATAAATTCGTGTTCAGTGCCAGCTCCGTGTTTTCATCATTTTGCCAAAGTATAACTAGTTCTGTGGTTTGCGAGGCCCTTCATAATAGGCCCCGCCCAGCACATCTTATTGTTTTCCTTGCCATTTCTTAAGCCAGTCATCCATGCCAGGCTGATGTGCTGGTTTCTGGCCATGCAGGAGCATCCAGGGGGCTGACTCCCTTGTGCACCCTTGACGCCTCCCTTCACTTGATGTTGCAGCAGCGAGTCTGTACCTTTCCGTGTTGCATTCTGCCGTTCTCCAGTCTGAGCTCCTTCACTCTCAATTAGTTTTCTCATCTGGACAGTTCTCTAAGGACAAGGACTATGGCTTACTCTTGAGTTACTCATAGAGCCTATACTGTTGGCTTTATAGAGTGCTAAATGCCTGTCAGATGTATAACAAAACTAAAAGTGTATTTTACTCATCTTACAAATCTCACTGTCTGTCACTGCAGGTCCCTGAGTTGGCTGGCTTTTGGCTTCTGAGCCTTCTACTGCAGTTGCCCTTAATCCTCTTCTTGCTCCTTAACGAGGGCCTGAAGAATCTGCCCTTGGAAAAAGCAATACATATCATCTTCACTGTCTTCCTTACTTTCCAAGTCATCTCAGCATTTCTGACCCTGAAGAAAATGGTCAATCAGCTGGCAGCGCGTTTCCACCTCCAGGACTTTGATCGACTGTCTGCTAACAGGTCCACTGCGAGGAGGATGAGGCGGAATGCCGAAGAGCTCTGAGCCAGCGCTGATGAGTAACATCTGAAACACCAAGAGACTGACAGGACGTCTGAGGTCAGGCCTGAGAAATGGAACAGTTGCTCTGGGCTGACCCTCTGGCTCAGGAATTTCCATGGAGGCGATGCCGAGACTGAGGCTGAGGCAGTGTCCAGCAGACCTTTCTTGATATTGACTTTGCAGGTGCGTGTCCGTAAGTCTGTTGGAAGCTGTAATCCACCACCTTTTCTGTAATGTTTGGAGTTATAATCTGCAGCTAGAAATGTGGCATTTCAGGGAAAGTCAGTCCTGTCCAGTGGATCTCACTGGGTGTGTCGGCACTCCAGGACGTCGCCCAGCCCAGGCCAACATAAAACAAACTCTGTGGTGTTCTTGTGAACTCTTTGTTTCATTTTGCATTTGTTTTGGCATTGTTGTCCTATTGTTACAGAATAAGAAGGTGGGAAGGAGTTGGGGAAGAAGACAAAACATGCAAAATAATGTGGTATAAAGAAAAAATAATTAAAAAAGTAAAGTGTAACTTCTTTTAAACTTGTCCGTTATTTATGGCTGTTCTGGGTTTCATGGAGCACATAGCAGTGCTTGATCATCAGCGTGCTCATGCATTAGGTGGTATTTTTAAGCGAGATGAAATTTGGGGTATGCTAGTACTCAATTTTAATCTCTCTTCAGTTGTTATGCTTACGAAAAGGAGGTATGCTGTGGTACTCAAGGAGTTTCTACTGAGATGAAGCAGGCAGAAATAGTATGGTATTTAAGAAATATTTTCTCATGAAGATCTTTTAAGTGTTATTAAACCATGTTCAGTATTTGGTGGCACATAAACTATTTTTTACCATAAATCTTAAACTATTTATATTAAAATATCAGCAACCTGTCATACTTGTCTGTGCAGTTCTTTCGAGCTATGAGGTTTGTGAGATTGTTTGAGTTATGTGCACGGGTGTTTTGCCTGTGTGTATGTATGTGCGCCACATGCCTGCCTGGTGCCTGTGGAAGCCAGAGGAAGGTGTTAGATCCCCTGAGACTAGTTACCGAAGGTTGCGGGCCACCGGGTGAGGGGCGTGAATCAGAGCTGGGTTCTCAGAAAAACAGCCAGTGCTCTCACCCCCTGAGCTACTTCTCCAGCCCCGTGAGTTTGTTTTAATTGGAGCTGTCGCCTTAAAGACCCTAGCGTACAGCAGGCAGCGGTAGGCTCGTTGAAGTTCTGCTCTCATTACTAGGTCATTTGTACTCACTAACATCACACAGCTCTTAGACTCGCATGTGAAGTCTGCTTTGAAGACAGTGGTTCCCTGTTTTCACACAGTGACAGCTGAGATTGAGGGCTGAGACAGCCAGGGGCCTGCTCGTGATCCTGCGTGAGCATGTTCCCTTAGGAAGAAAAGGAACCTATTGAAGGAAATTTGGTTAAAAAGCATAGATTTCCTGGGTATATACACACATTATTTTTAAATATTTATTTGAATTATCTTAAAGATAGTTTTCCCTTCAGGCTTTCTTCTGTCCTCTAAGGAAATAGGCCTTTATAGGTAACACACATCTTACTGAGAGAATGGTCGTACTACATTAACAATTCTTTCCTGTTTTAGACAAGGTCTTACTTGGCAGCCCTAGCTGGCCTGGAACTCCCTGTGTGGACCAGGCTGGCTTCAAACTCAGAGATCCACCTACCCCCGCCTCTTGAGAGCTGGGATTAAAGGTGTGCCCCTCTACGCCAGCCTCTAGTTATGTTACTTCAATTCATGCTCATCATGGGATTTCCTTGATTTTCCTTATGAATTCTTATGCTGCTTACTTTTTTAAAAAAATGTCTGACCTTATTTTGCCTGGCCAAGCTACAACTCCTCAAATACAAGAGTTCATAGACAAGATGGCTTCTCAGTCTTCAGGGGTATGACCTGGGAGGTCAAACATTTGCACAATAACGCACAAAGTCAGAAAACCTAATTATTAGGAAGTGCAGCGAGCTCTCACATACTTCATGGTGAGTCCTTACGACCTCCCCTCTGTCCAGGCCTTCACACCTGCCTCATCCTGCTGTAGCGTTCACTCCCACACACTGGAGGGAGAGGTAGATGGTGACAGGAGAGGCGCCGAACACTTCCCTGTCTGTACAAGCAGGAAGCTTACTGTCTGCTGGGAAGGACTGATAGGCAAATCAGTGCTCTTACACTGTGGGCGGGGCACCACGGTTTATGGAAGAGCAATGCCCCAAGGGGTAAGAATCTGGAGACTGAGGGGGATACTGTATTCAGCATCAAGAAAAGGGCTAATAATAGCATTGTCCTGTGGCTTTTTTCCACGGCTTCAGGGAAGTAGCTTTGAAATGGACGTCTAGAAGCTGCTTTTGCTAAAAAGCATTGACTCCTCACTTGCACCACAAGGCTACCAGCACAGAGCTGTCATTGTCCTCACCCTGTAGCTCCACAGGACAGACCCACCTCTCCCACCGATCATCCCCAGGGTGAGACTGCTCCCTGAGCACAGGAGTTGTCTTGCAGCAAGCACCCTGGTCCCTTGAGGGCGACCGGTTGGTTAGTAGATTAAGAAATCGTGGAGTACCTTGCAGGACTGCAGCTGAGACAGTGGCGGGCAGGATGGTGCCTTGGCGAGGACTGCTGGGTTACGCAAACCTCTCACCCTCTACCTAAATCCAGTGCATGGCAGTACCCCAAAGATGGACTTGGGGTCACTGACCCCTTTATCTCTTCTTCCCAGTGTGGGCCCATTGAATGCATCTTTTCACAGTGCCAGAATGTGGGGATCCGTAGCTAGGCAGGCCTGCTAGGACTGTGGGGGCCCAGGCTTTTGTGCTAAAAACTCTCTCACCAAGGTTAGCAAACAACCAGGTGGAAGGGGGCCTTTGAGCAGTAGCCACTAGTAGCCAGTTGGAGAATGAGGGCAAGGATGGAATGGATGGTCTCACTTGGTCTCTGGAGACTCATCTTTCCATTTGACCAGGACTCAAATTCTTCTGTCACATTTGGTGAGGCAGATGTGTTTAGACTCTTCTGCCCTTGGTAACTTCACCCCAATCAGTTACTTTTGGCCTTGCCATTTCCTTGCCAGCCTTGGGGCTCTTTTGAGCTGTTTGTGTTCTTTTTTAACTAATTCACATTTCTGAGGTTTGTCTGACAATATGTCCAGGTTCTTTATGTTTGGGGCTCTTTTGAGCCATTTGGGTGACTGCTATTTCGCTGATGGCACCCTTTTTAGCCAGTGGGGATTCTGTTAAACTCTTCGTTCCTCTGACATTTCTCTGAAAAGTCTGTGTTAGGGAACTCTTTTGAGCAAATCTGGGTTCACCTGAACTTTCAGGCAGTTTTTCAGGGAAGCTCAAATTCTTTTAATTTTATATTGGTAATTAGGGAAGGGATATAAGGTACAGACAAGGGTGTCTAGAAGATGTCCACTGTAATTTGTGTAAGCATGGGGAAAACTACTTGTACAATGTGAACACATCTATCTAAGCATGCATTCTGAATCAACAGAATCATTTTATATGACACTTTTGTGTATCAGTCTATTGGTCTGTGCCGATGGTGGTGGCTTAAGAGAGGCAGAAAATCTGAAAGCTACAGCAACGATCCCAAACAGAGATTTAGCTGCCTGAGGGTTCTTGGACTCTAAGCAAAGAGGGAAATGTTCCCTCTGGCCCTCTCTGGATGACTCAGGGTGACTAGACTAGGGTTTAACAGAGGTATCATGGGTAAGTGGCCCCACAACATCCAGAAGTCACCTGAGCAATCATGTAAGAAGACCATACCCTGCTCCTGAATTGGTGGAAACTCCGGTGGACCATCCAAGAAGTCCACACAAGGTCGGTCCCCCCAACACTGAGCTGCTGCATGTGCCTTGGGATGGGGCTTTCTCCGAGATGAGGGAGCTGCCTGTCCACGGGGGCCTTCTAAGAAAGGAGCTAGTAGTGACAATTTTGGCATCTTGCAAAACAAAACATAACAACAACAAAAAATAAAATAAAATAAAACATGTCCCTGTGCACCCCATTCCCGGTCCACAGTTCAGCCCGAATTCCTGGAGACCTGCTGCCAGCCAGGACAGACAGACAGGTGAGACACCTGCAGCCTCCTGCCTGCGGGTGCCCCTGGGTAACCCAACAGTGACAAGCTATGCCCTGTCCCCCCTGAGCTCCATTCCTGGCACACAGCTCTGCCTGCATCCCTGGGAGCTACTGCCAGCAGGGACCACCGGGCCACCCCTAGCACCCCTGAAACATCCTCAACAGAGGTAAGCCTCACCTGTTCCCTAGAATTCCACTTTCTGGACCACAGCTTGGGCGATATTACCAGGGTCTGCCAGCACCAAAGATAACTAGAAGGCTGAAAGTCAGTGTGTGAACACAATCGACAAGAGCCAGGGCAACACCGCACCACTGACACCCAACCGTCCTACTACAACAAACCCAGTATAGCCTAACACAGCTGACACACAAGAAAATGACCTTAAATCCAATCTTGTGAAGATGACAGAGGCCTTTAAAGAAGAAATGAATAAGCACCTTAAAGAAATACAGGAAAATAACAATCAAGAAGGTAAAGGAAATTAATAAAACAGTTCAAGCCCTGAAAATGGAAATAGAAGTAATAAAGAAAACACAAATTGAGGGGATCCTAGACAAAGGCATACTAGGTAAGAGAAAGGAAACTACAGACACAAGCATCACCAACAGAATACAAGAGATAAAAGAGAGAGTCTCAGGCATAGAAGATACAATAGAAGAACATCAATCAGAGAAAATATCAAATCTAAAAACTTTCTAACACAAAACATCCAGGTAATTAGGGACCCTATGAAAAGACCAAACAATAGGAATAGAAGATTCCCGCTCAAAGGCCCAAAAAAATATTTTCAACAAAAATCACAAAAGAAAATTTTCTTAACCTAAAGAAAGAGATCCTTATAAATGTACCAAAAGCTTACAGAACACCAAATAGATTGAACCAAAAAAGAAAGTCGTCCTGCCACATAATAACCAGAACACTAGATATACAGAACAAAGAAAGAATATTAAAAGCCGCAAAGAAAAAAAGGCCAAGACACATAAAAAGGCAGACATATTACAATTCCATCAGACTTCTCAGTGGAGACTTTGAAAATGAAACTGGCTTAGGCAGATGTCTTGCAGTCTCAAGAGACCACAGATGCAGCCTAGACTGGTATACACAGCAAAACTTTCAATCAACATCGATGAAGAAAACAAGATAGTTCATGACAAAGCCAAATGTAAACAATTTCTTTCCACAAGTCCAGCCCTACCGAGGATACTAGAAGGAAAACTCCAACACAAGGCAGTTAACTATAGCCAAGAATAAATAGAAAATAAATAATTTCATACCAGCGAAACCAAAAGATGGGAAGTGTACAGACACACATACACTCTACCACCACCAACATCAAAATAATTGGAATCAACAATCATTGGCGATTAATATCTATCAACATCAATGGACTCCATTTCCCCATAAAAATACACAACCTAACAGAATGGATGTGAAAACAAGATCCATCATTCGGCTGCTTATAAGAAATACACCCTAGCAACAAAGAGAGACATTACCTCAGAGTAAATGGTTGGAAAAAGATTTCCCAAGCAAATGGACCCAAGAAGCAACATGGATTAGCCATTCTAATTTCTAACAAAATAGTTTCAACCAAAATTATTCAAAAAAGATAGGGAAGGTTACTCATATTTATCAAAGGGAAAATCCACCAAAATGATATGTCAGTTCCAAATATCTAAGTTCCAAATTTGAGGGTACCTACATTTTTAAGAGAAACATTACTAAAGCTTAAACCATATACATCAATAGTAGAAGATTTCAACACCCTACTCTCATGAATGGGC